ATTTTTCAAGTGTGGGTAATCCACAAGAGAAACTTTCAGTAACCTATGGTAAAGGTTTCAGAGCTAGTTCAACTTTAATAAATACCTAAAGGGCTGGTAATTAATTGATTGATTTATTGATTGGTTGGTTGATTTATTATTCTGAAACAAACATTAAGAATTTAGTTATATTCTAAATATAAATGTAATAACAAACATTAAAAATCTTAGTTAATAGGATATATAACAAACATTAAAAATCTTAGTATAATAGGATATATCTACAGATCCATAATCATATAGGTGCATAATACATATAATTAATTTACATATATTACATATATGATATCTATTCTTCATTCTCGTTCTTCTGTCTCTTCCCTAAAATCAGTTGTTATCTACTATTTTACAGTATTTTTCTCTGACTAGCCATATTCAGCTTAGAATCTCAAAACCATGCTAAGAAAATTCCGTGGTTCTCCTAAGTTTCCCCATAAAAATTTGAGACAAATTGGTTAGGGGATTTCTGATTTATGATCAGACAACAAAAAACAGACAGACAGGCAGACAAGCATGCTTGTCTGCCTGTCTGTCTGTTTTTTTTCAGAGATTACAACTTTATATAGATAACGAATTTCCTTTAGAAATTATCTTAAGAAGTGCTTTCAATGTTAGTGTACATTCCTTCTTCTTGGATTGCTTCTTCTTAATTTCCTTCTTCTTGCATTCCTTCTTTGCCTTCAACTCATCCCTCCGCTGGGCACCCCTCTAAAAAAATCAAATTGAACTGGATATTTAATTAAGTATTTAAAAAATTTGAAAAATAAAAAATTTGGTATTATCCTTTTAGTCCCAGCTTGCCATGGTTTTGATATAAATATTTCCATAGAAATTATTGTAAACCGAGGAACAAAAAGATGAAAGTGGGGAGAAATGTTTAAGTAAAAATGCCATTTCTTTAAATAATCAATATATGTTACCCCCATTCCATGATAATTATTTTCATTTTTAAAATGGAAAAAAACATGTATGTCTTAAGTATCAGGAAAAGATAAAAAAAAACCTTTTTCCATGTACAAACCAATTTTTTTTTTTCATTTCTCAATTTGTCAATTCAAAGTATGGACCCCATCCCCCCTATAAAAATGCTCTACCTCTCTCTCTGCCTTCCTATTACGACATTTCGTTATTTTTAATCAATTCAGTTCTCCAATTCCTTCGAATTTTACTGTTTGTTTCCTAATACGACCCATTTTATCTGAAAGAAAAACATATCAAGATAATAAACATCTAATTTTCAGTTTTAAACAGAAAATAAGCTTAAAGATTCATGACTAATTCTTAATTTGTTCCACTCATTTAAAATTTCCTAGCTCTGCCTAGCAAATCACTCTTTGAAGAATACCAGTTTTGTTTTCCACTTTTTTTGTAGTAAAAATCGGAAAAACTTTTTAAAAAACATTGTATTCATAGAAGAATAGATCCATAGAAGAATAGATGTATCCATAGAAGATTAGATTCCTGGTTATGTTCATGTAATTAGAGAAGAATATATGCGTACTTCAGAATCCTGGTTATGTTCATGTAACTAGAGAGGAATAGATGCACTTCAGATTCTTGGTTGTGTTCATGTTACTAGAGAGGAATAGATGCACTTCAGATTCATGGTTATGTTCATGTAACTAGAGAGGAATAGCTAGTAGTTTTCATATAAAAAATTCCTCTGAACCCTAGGACTACTTTTAGGTTTTATACAGGTGAGAGGGGGGTTCATTTCAATCCTGTATGTATCTTCTAGAGATCCTGGGAAAATTAGATCTCCATGTCCCAGGATCTTTACATCCCCAGTCTCCATCACTACTCTCTCAAACCCAAGAACCTGGTATCCAGGTCGCACATGATCCAGTCCGATTTTTCTTGTAATTTTGGGCTTCCATTCTCCAGAATTTTCACAAAAGAACACTTTACACTCTAAGCAATCCATGTAAACCTAACAGAAAATTGAATAATTAAATAAAATAACATAAAATCTGAAGAAAGTAAATTTCGACTTTATTTCATTGTGTTCGTTCATCATTCCTAAATGATCAATTTCTATGTTTTTAGCAATCTTTATAATTAAAATGTTTTATCTGTTCTCAAAATTATTGTTTATTTTACATCTTTTTTGTTTGTTTTCTCAATGAAAGATTTTTCGTTCAGGAAAATTGTTCTTTCATTAAAAAACTATTGTTTTATTCCAAAGAATTGTTTGTTTACTAAAAAATCAATAGTTTTCTTCATTCTTGTGAAAAATTCGTTCATTCAGTATTTTGTTCGTTTAAAATGAGGGGTAAATATTTGTTGACAATTCCCCCCCCCCCCTTCAAAACAATGCACATGTATAACATATACTTACACTGTTCCGTTCTTGTAAAATCTCGTCCTCGGTCCACCAGGCCAGCCCAGCATCATGCAGACTGACCAACACTCCAATTTTAAAACCATCCGGGTCCATCTTTTCTGAAGTAAAAGTAGATATTTCTAACAGTGCAGTAGTAGTCAATAAGTCAGTAGTGCATGCAGTAGTCAATAAGAATGTGGGAGCCTCTACTGTAAAGTGTGCGGTAGCTGTGAGAGGGGAGCAGGGGTAGGAAGGCCTGGTTTCCTAACATCTCTCTCTCACTTTCCTGACTGCGCGGGCTTTCTTCTCTACAGTATAATGGAAACCTCTACTGTTTACTGGAAATCTCTCATGTGTAGTGGATTACCAGCACCATTACAATATTACCGAAAAACACAATTTGGCATGATAAATAATAAGTTATTATAGGTGCAAGTTATTTCTTTTGGTTTCATAAATCGAAATATTGAATTTTTAAAAATCAAAAGTATTTTATTTTCCAGCTGTTTTAAGATTTGTTCATTGTTACTAATATTAATCCATCATATTATCAAAGATATTTAACATAGTTGGGCGAAAGAAAAAAATTTGAACCGTTTATTTGAATGCCAAATGATTTCATTGATAAAACGTCTTAAACAAACTTTAAAATTACTTTATCCAAAACGATATTTTATGGCTTTCCTTATTTTGCTTTAGAAAAAACGTCAACTTCGGACAAGTTCGGATGTATTTACAATAATAAAAAGAAATTGAGAAATCGACAGTTTTATTTACAATGCCAATTGCTTTCTCAACATATTAATACAAATAACCATTTTCAGTTGGTGAATGTTTTCACTATTTCTTTTTAATGTTAAGATGGAACTCACTTTTTCCGTCTATTCCATCAAATACTCTCATACTACAGATATAAATTATTTTTTAGAGCCAAAACTCAACTATGATGATTTATTAAAGATACAATTTTTTATTATTGATGTCGAGATTTTCCCTTCGTTCTCGAATTTTAATTTAAAAAGTTAATCCACTAAAAATACCATCATTACACAAAAACTAACATTGAATGTTTACTATTTCAATATAACTTTATGTCAAGAATCGTTTCATATGCACCAAGAAATATTTAAAATTAAGTAGTTCCAACCACTTCACTGTTTTATTTAAACTCAAAGTTTTGAACTTGCGTGCCATCGGTATTTTACGCCACAATTCAGAATGGGACCGAGTTTGATTTCATTGTCTTCTCTAACTAGTTTTTCTTTTGGTTTCATACGCGTAAATATACAAATTGGAAAAATGGTTGTAACAATGAGGTCAAAATCGCTTCCAGGGAGGTGTGTACTCTCTACTCTCTAGTTACAAGGAATTTTTTTCGTTGTAAATTTTGCAGGAGGGGGACGATACCCTTCCGCCACTGATACCCATTTTAGTACCTAATTCATAACAAAATTAAACTTGTCTAAGCAATAATGATAACAAAATATCCTTGCTTTTCTATTTAAAAATTTCTAATTGCTGATTGTGTTTTTTTATATAAAATTGACTTTAGAATTTTATGCAACAGAGTCCAAGAACATAGCTTCCAGATTTCTACACTCTTTAACAATTCTTAGGATAAACGAGGATATCTGTTGAGATATAGATAAAATGGTTACCATTAAATCTAATTAAATAATATCTCCTTCAGGGCCAAACTTCATCCAGTGTGGGGTTCCTGTTTTCATTTTTAAAGGAACCTTGCTGAAATTTTGCATATGGACATCATTTGTGTTTGTAAAACGATATTTTTTAACAGATCTTTAAATAATTTTTTTCATTTTTTCATAAAACATATTTTAGCAAAAAATCAAAACCCTTAGTCAACTGCCTGACTGTCAAATTACGGCCAGAGAAAGTCTTTTTGATGCAATTTTTACTGATATTACTTCAAAAAGACTTTTAGGCAGTAATTAGGCAATTATACAGTTTACTTAAGGCTTTGATTATTTGCTAAAACATGACTTATGACTGTGAAGAAAAATTCAAAAAATTTGGGGACCCTGCCATTAACAGTTCTAAAAATATCTAAAAACACAGTAATTTTAGTTAATCTAGTTACGTTTGAGTTTAAACCTGAAAATGCACTTGATATCTACAATTTCTTAAAAATGGATTTGCTCAAAATTCCCAATTTTCTTAAAAATGAGATTATAACTCAGAAGACTGCATATAAATATATTATATTTCAAAGAAAAGCCTGATTGTCCATTTACAGCAGTGTGAGAAGCTTTAAAAATATGGAAGAAAGTGGGGAAAATTCTATTTTATTTTACTTAAAACAAACTCAAATGATGCTTATAAGCAAAATTACATTAAGATTCCTCAAAGGAATATGTATACAAATTGGTTAAACTGACTGTCGCCTTTACCGACATCTCTTCTCAGTTGCATTATTAATGGTGAAACTAAATTGATTCACTCTACAGTTCAAGGGAGGTTTACCTTTAATCAACAAAACTAAGTTTTTTTTTTTGTGTTTTCCCACCTGAATACAACCCCCCACCCCCTCACCCCCTGTTGATAAGTCTTAATATATAACTGGCATGTAAACTTTTTATACTTGTTTTTGTTAGTCAGACATTCAATTTTTAATCCTCATTTGGAAATACCATCAAGAAGATCAGTAATGAGAGCAGTTTTGAGTGAAGAAACCGAGGTACTAACTTAATCTTTTAAACCCATTTTGATGAAGATCTAGATCCTGGATTCTGGATCCGCCGTGAAAAAAAGGGATCCGGACCAGGTCCTGAACATTTTTTAAAAATTATTAAAATTTAATCCTTTTTTTGCCAAAACTTATGTACCATTTAGAGATTAGGATGTTTTTATTACCTCTTAATAGTTAACTATTGAAATTTGTGTTTTGAGAGTAAACTTTTTTTAACAGGCTTTCGTTGACATCTTGTCCCTTGAATCCAGATCTGTGTACTTGTAATTTTTGCGGATATGGATCCAGGGAGCAATATGTTGCAGATTTATTTTTAAGTGTCCAACTAAAGTTTTTGTTATTTGATACAAAGTGGACAGAGAAAAGACTTCTGAACAGATTAAATATTTGAACTTATTTTTTAAAATCTCAACTATTTAAATTAACTATTTTTCCCATTTGATAAGCCAAGACTAGTCAAAGAATTAGGCTTTTTCAGTTGTAGTGTTGTAGTTAATTTTCTGTAAGATATCCAAATCCAGGTTAGAAAGAGTAGCGGATTATGGATTATGAAACTAAAACATAAAATTCCCTATTAATTGAGGTTTTGATTGGTATCTAATCTAATTCCTGCTACTCATAATTCCGTCTGGATTAATAAAGAAGTGTAATTTCTTAATTTCAATAATTTAGATGAAGACTGAAATCTACAAGCTGACTCAACGTGCTAGGAAAATCAACATAACCTCTGACATTTGGTCACAGAAAGGCTGCACAAATTCTTATTTGGGAGTTACAGCCCACTTCTTCGACCCTGAAAGGAAAGAGTTAATCTACCTAACCCTAGCAGTACGTGAATTTCGCAACCCACATACAGGAGAATTCATTGCTGAGGAATTGACAAACATCTTGGATGAGTTCGGCGTCTCAGATAAACTGTTTTATCTAGTCTCAGATAATGGCAGTAATATTGTAAAAGCCGCAAGAATGCTAAAGGCAAAAGGGGATAAAGAAGCCATTGAAGAAGATCTTCCCTCTGCAATTCATAAATGGAAAGCCATTGATTGTTTTTTTGACGAGGAAGATCTTGAGGATGAGGAAGATGAGGACGAACTACAGATGGTGAATCAGGAAGATATTGACGAGTATGATTCAAGAACAGAGACTATTCAGAAGAACTTTCAGACGATGCTCAACAACCGAATCGGGTGTTTCAGGTAGAATTTTTATGCTGCAGTTAAGAATTTCTAAATAAGGTTGTTAAACTAAGTAAAACTGTAGCTTTTTACTGTAGCAAGATTGGAAGTTAAGTTAGGTTATTAAGAAACCGAAATTAATGGATAGCTGGAAGTGCTTTTAAACTTTTTTTCATCAACTGAAACTGTTGCAGAGGATGTTGTTCAACTACGTCTTATAGCTATTAATTAATTTTTATAAATTTCAATCCAATCCTTGAAAAAAGAAACAATTTTTCTTTTAAAAAAATAGTAAAATGTTTAAATAGTTTTATTCTTTAATATTAATTCTAAAATTTAATCAGGGACATATATATTTTTTTAAACTCCCCCTTACCTCTCAATTTAATTTGTTTCTGAAGTACTGAAGTTTCACATTGGGTTCTCTGTTAGATTTAAACTTTATTTGATTTGATATCCTTTAATCAGGACATAAGAGAAAGTAGATATTTTTTGTGATAATTTTTTCATACAGATTTCTAAATAATCTTATTCATGACACTGTTACTAATTAGTTAGCGTAATTTCATGTGACCCTTAAATAACAGTACCCTTAAAAGTTTAATATTAAATTAAATATCAATGTCCATAATGTTGAAAAGTGGTTATTTTCAAATGTGGGTTTTCTACTAAATTGAATTGAATTATTGCTGGAGAACATTGGAATTATCGGAATTAAACACTTTTGAGAAAACTTGGATAAATTTGTTATGAAGTAACTGTTTTAAATCAGGCATTGCAATCTCTGCATGGAGGGTCACTTGAAATTACGCTTTAAATCCCTGAAACTAATTCAAGATGTATATTTTAGTCACTCCATGCAGTTGTGCATCATTTCTGCTCTTCAAAGTGATGTAACCTTTTCAACCGCATTTGCGAAAGCGCAGACAATATCCAGATAATATTCATGCTCAACAAAAGCCAAGGACATTCTGAAAAGATGTGGTTTTGGTCAAAGGCTTACTCTGGGTTCTAAGACAAGGTGGTGGTCTGAACTGGAAATGGTTAAGAAGATCATTGGGGCTTATGAGGCTAATGCGTTAAATGCCATGATAAGAGAGGTGAACTGGAGTGAGGAGATCTTGTGGTCGGAGATTCTTATTCTGAAGTCGTATGTAGCTATCTTCACAGTGTTTGCTCAGTCATCAGATTTCCTCGGTTCTGAGAAGAATACCACCATCGCTCTGGTCTACCCTATCATCAATGTTCTTAGGAAAACTCTGGCCAAGCAAGACCATGCTGTAAAGCAGTTCCCCACAAATCTTGATAAACTCCTCATGGATAGATTCAAGTAAGCAGATACTATCTCTTTCTTTTGATGTCTAATTTTCCATTTTTAACACCAAATCTCAAAAAATCATTACCCCTTGTAAGGAGGGGGGGGGGGGGAGGAGGAAATTATTAATAATATATACACACAAATTTTTCAGCAACAATTTAATGATTTTAAAATTGAACTTGGTAGAATTTAGTTTTTGATAAAATAAATACCCCTCCCATTTTCCTAGCTCCTTTCTTTTTAACTTTTTTTACTACTGGAAGACTTATCACCTTACTTGATTTCTAATGATTGTTCGTTCAGGAGCGTGATTCATCTGGAGCTGTCGGACAAACTTTATGTTGCTGCAACATTTCTCCATCCAGTCTATCACTTGACCTTGTCAAATGAAGTCAAATCTAGGAAAAATGTTATCAAGCATAAATAATTTTTCTTTATTGTTTTCATTTACTGGTTTATTGCTTAAGTTTTTTTTCTTCATCCAAATTATATATTATGCTTATTTCATAAATAGAGCTAAACTTCACATCAAGAGCATTTGTCTAGAATCGATATCGTCAGAGAATCAGGTAAAATGGCCCTCATATTCAATTGATAAAAAAAATAATTTTCCCTTAAAACTTGTTTTAATTTTTGAAAAAATGTAAAGAAACTTTTATCTAATATTTTATACTTGTTGGCAACTAGCTTTTTTTGTTAGAGGGGGTCAGGGGGGGGGAGTAGTTTTCTTATTTAAATTTAAAATGATATTAGCAATTCTTTCTTTCCATTCTGCAAGGGGAGGGGGCCCCCCCACCTTTTATATGCCCTTATGCTTGTTGGGGATTGAAGAGGGAAAAATATTTAAGAGTGGGTTGAATTTTTTACTGATGTAAACCCTTGAACAAAAATTAATGAATTTGATAGGTAGTAAAATTGACAAAATTAATCCTTCAATTACTTTTCCACTATTCATTAATCCTGGTTACTTCTGTGCTTCAGTGATTTGCACATCATTTTTCACTTTATTCCTGGATGCGAATTTTTACTATTTAATATTTTTGCCATGTTAAGGATGTGATCTCAACAGTTGTATCTGTAGCTGAATCTGGAGAGGAATGCAATGATTGCATGACTGAATATTTGAATGAAATGGTAAGTTTGTGTTTAATATGGATTCAAGACAATGTTGTCTAAATAAAAGCATGGTGGCGTACAAAAGGGGGGGTTACTGGGTGCATGTGCCCCTCCTCTTAAATGGGGGTATGCATATACATTTAACATTGCATTGCACTCACCCAAATCAAAAGAATAAGACAAGAAATGAAGTAAATCCATAAATCTACAAGCTTTGTCTGATCATGTACGCATGTTTTTCTTATTGAAAGCAGTTAAATGCTTTAACAATGAGGTGGTACAAAAGTGTCTCGGCATTTCTTGCTTTTAGAAGCGATGGAGAAATGAAGGTTTCAAAGGTACATCAGACATGTCTCTCTATAAATGGAGGGTCACTTGTAATTACGAATATATTCCATTGAAGTATTTATAATAAATGGGCGTTTAAGGGGGGGCACAATGTCGTCGGCCTAGGGGGGGGGGCTCCAAAAAATGTAGTGCCCCCCTACACAAAAGCTCTCTGTCAGCTGTCTTTCAAACTTTTATTGAACAAAAATATACCAGACATAAATCTCCATATGCAGCATTGATGCAAAACAAAGTTTACAATAAGTAAGTTAGAAAGATTTGTTATTTTATTGTTTTTATTATGTGTATTTAGGTGGTAGTGGAGGAGGATGGAGATCCGTTTTCTTGAGATGTAAAGATAATGGAGGGGAAGTTTAAAGAGATTATTGTTAGGTACACATCCTTTTACTCAGCCCACGCATTTCTACAGACGGAAAACATAAGAATTTACATAATTAAATCCTTCTAAACTTTAAAAAATATTTCACATTTTCAAACTGTGAATCGGATATTACCATCTTTGCATAATGGGTCACTTGAAATTACGCTTACATTCCTTTAAAGAGTACCATTATAAATCAATTTTGTCATTTTTTACAGGATATTAACATAGACAGGTTTCATCAGATTAAGAATAAACTTTTTTACGGGGTACGAGCTCAAAACCTTCTGAAGATCTACGACCCTCTAGAGTATTGGAAAACTGCGGGAACAGAGTACCAAACTAATCTCCCACTTGTTGCCCAAGATCTCCTCTGCATCCCCGCAACTTCAACTTCCTGTGAAAGGGTTTTTTCACAAACAGGAAACACTGAGATTGATGATTATTGATTCCCACATATTTCATGAAAAATCAGAACCCCCCCCCCCCTCTCTTAAGAAATTTTTCCCCCCCATAGGCTATAGATAGGTATTTTATATAGGCCTGTATTTTGTATACCTACTAAGGTCAACAGTATGGATTAGTAAGTAGGGTGTTTATCACCCCCCCCCATACCTCCACTTAAGCTAATGTTATTACAGCACTTGAGTTTATTTTGAGTTTCTTGAAATTAATCATTTGATCAGTCAAGAATCTCAATGTTATAAAATGTAGGGTTGCTAAGCTCAGGAAATAGAGGCTCATTAGGGAAAGAGGCCCTTGAGGCCAGAATTATTCTGAGAAAAAACTACAACATTATACAGAAAGGTGATGGTCATTTTGAGAGTCCAAGCAAAAGTTTTGACTTCCTTTTTATTTTTTTCACCCATTTTAATTTAGTTTTAAGTTCATTATGCACATTTTTTTTAGCAAAATACTTTAAGTCAAATTTAAACTTTATAATATACTTATTAACATTAAATTGGTGGGGTGGCCTAAGTCTATGCATTGTTTTTTAGGTTCCGAGGGTTGTTTACTGTATTGGCTTTAAACGATTTTTTTTTTGACAAAAAATTATCTTTCATTTTAAATTTGTTTTCTAAATCTTAATTATTAAAAATGTTTTGATAACTTCTTGGGCACAAAATGACCATCTGTTCGTCTTACTTAGTATAATTATTCACAAATATTTGAGATGATCTTGAGAATTTTTGCAAAGTTTAAATGATCCCGAGAATTTCTGTAAAGTTTAAATGATCCCGAAGATTTCTGTAAAGTTTAATGGATCCCAAGGATTTCTGTAAAGTTTAAATGATCCCAAGGATTTCTGTAAAGTATAATGGATCCCAAGGATTTCTGTAAAGTTTAAATGATCCTGAGGATTTCTGTAAAGTTTAAATGAGCCCTAGGATTTCTGTAAGGTTTAAATGATCCCAAGGATTTCTGTAAAGTTTAAATGATCTCGAAGATTTCTGTAAAGTTTAAATGAGCCCAAGGATTTCTGTAAAGTTTTTATGATCCCGAGGATTTCTATTAAGTTTATATGATCCCAAGGATTTCTGTAAAGTTTAAATGATTCCGAGTATTTCTGGAAAGTTTAAATGGTTCCAAGGATTTCTGTAAAGTTTAAATGATCCCGAGGATTTCTGGAAAGTTTAAATGATCCCGAAGATTTCTATAAAGTTTAAATGATTCCAAGGATTTCTGTAAAGTTTAAATGATTCCGAGGATTTCTGTAAAGTTTAAATGATTCCGAGGATTTCTGTAAAGTTTAAATGATTCCAAGGATTTCTGTAAAGTTTAAATGATCCCGAGGATTTCTGCAATTGTGATTAATAATTTATGTAAATTCTTTTGGAAAATAAATAATTATTGTTCATTGTTTTAATTTTCTCTAGGCTTTCCACAAAGGATGATACATTGCAATTCTTTTATTTCATTTTCAATTCCTTAAAATTTTTTTTCAGATTGTTGATTTATAAAAGTCCTAGGTCAGATTTAAAGTCTCATTTATTGTGGATAATAGTTAGTTTTCAAATGAAAAAATGTTAAATGATAATCATCGTGGAAGACTATGTCCTTTTTCTGGCTTAAGCCTTAAAGTGTTAAAATTTCATAATAAAATGCACACTAAATTTCAAAAAGAGAAACATGTAATTGTACACTGAACTCATCCATATTTAATAACCTCAAAGGTTGGAACTGTTCTTAATCAAGAAAACAAAGAACGGGGATGAAAACGTTCTTGACTAAGAAAGGAACGGGAATGGAATCGTTCTATACTAAGAACAGAACGTGGGGATGGAATCGTTCTTGACTCAGAACGGAACGGGGATGGAACCATTCTCAACTAAGAACGGAACGGGAATGGAATCGTTCTATACTAAGAACGGAACGGGGGGATAGAAATGTTCTTCGACTAAGAACGGAACGAGATGGATGGAACCGTTCTTCAAATAAGGAACGCCAAGAACGGAACGGAAAAGGGAGACCGTTTTTCTACTCAGAACGGAACGGAACGGAACGAAACGGAACGAGAACGGAACGATTTAAAAAAAAACGGAACGAGAACGGAACGGTTTAGCTGAAGGCCCTCGTTCTAGAACGGAACGGAACAATTTCAAAAAAGTCGGAATGTCGCCAGCCCTAACTCCAACCGTCACCGTGCTCCCGAATGAAATCAAATCCCTCTTGAAAAACTAACGCTAAAACAGTAAACAAATTATTAATAAAGGCTTTTAGAAAGTCGTCAACTTCAATTTTTTTTCTAACCACGTGAAAACAGATAATAAATTTCGTCCCTCATCTTACAAACGCTTTTTCCATTGAATTGATTGCGAATCAAGTTTAGCAAAAGAATTAGTATATTAACTATTTTACAAAGTTCCAGTGAACCACAATACAAGAATAAACTGTAGCATGTTACACAAAGGGACCTGGGCTACAATATTTGATACACAAAATGTTTCTGTTTACTTTTTTGAAGGAAAGTTGAACGTATTTGTAAATATAAATTTATATTTAATATCATAATTAGCCGTATTTAAATTGTCCTATTTATTGATGGGATATGTAATGTACATCTGATCAGCGTCTACGTGGCAACTACCTGGCGTCAAATCCAATATTTAAAACTCATCTATTTCTCAGTTTAACAGACCTTCTTATGTGTTGTCCTATTTGCTGTCGTATCCTCTGTCTGCTGTCTTACCTGCTGTCTTACCTGCTGTCTTACCTGCTGTCTTTATCTGCTGTCTTACCCCTTGTCTTTCCTGCTGTCTGCTGTCATACCCTCTGTGTTGCCCGCTGTTTTACCTGCAGTCTTACCTGCTGTCTTACATGCTGTCATACCTGCTGTCTTGCCCGCTGTCTAATCTGTTGTCTGCTGTCTAACCCGCCGCCGCTGTCTAACCCACTGTCTGCTGTCTTACCGCTGTATTCCTGCTGTCTAACCCACTGTCTGATACACCCTCTTGTTCGCTGTCTCATCTGCTGTCTTCTGCTTTACCCCTGTCTCACCCCCTGTCTTACCCGCTGTCCTACCCGCAATTTTACCCGCCATTACACCCACTCCAAATTCACAAATCCTGCCGCCAATTGGTGTCAAGTGTTTATCCGGTTTCTATATCAGGGTATTACCTGATTAGTCCCCTAACACAACCCGGCCGGATATTACCCGGATTATACCTGGTTTCCTGAGTAGGTAGGATATGGATTCTCTACCAGCACTTACTCCTCCCAATCCAAGAATCCATTCTCTTAAGTATAGGAATAAATATTGGCATTTAAATAAAAATAATAAAAAAAATTATAATTAATATAAAAACTTGCCATGATACCATCTTCCCAAAAAAAGTTTAAGTTTCTGTTTGAAAATATCCAGTAAAAATGAAAAAAGAGTTCGTTATTAATAACATCAAAAAAAGAAAAGAAAAACTTTGATTTTAACTTTGTTTTATTCTTAATTTTATAAAATTTGTTCTTTTAAAGTTTCATTTTTAACCCTGTTCTTGTTGAATATTCGCGTTTTACATTGTTCTTTTTACTTTGGTTCTTTTTACTTTGGTTCTTTTTACTTTGGTTCTTTTTACTTTGGTTCTTTTTACTTTGGTTCTTTTTACTTTGGTTCTTTTTACTTTGGTTCTTTTTACTTTGGTTCTTTTTACTTTGGTTCTTTTTACTTTGGTTCTTTTTACTTTGGTTCTTTTTACTTTGGTTCTTTTTACTTTGGTTCTTTTTACTTTGGTTCTTTTTACTTTGGTTCTTTTTACTTTGGTTCTTTTTACTTTGGTTCTTTTNTCTTTTTGCTTTTGTTCTTTTTGCTTTTGTTCTTTTTGCTTTTGTTCTTTTTGCTTTTGTTCTTTTACTTTCTTTTTACTTTGTTCCTTTTACTTTGTTCTTTTTACTTTCTTTTTACTTTGTTCTTTTTACTGCGTTCTTTTAACTTTCTTTTTACTTTGTTTTTTTATACTGTGTTCTTTTTACTTTCTTTTTACTTTGTTCTTTTTCTGTGTTCTTTAATACTTTGTTGTTTTTACTGTGTTCTTTTTACTTTGTTATTTTATTTTATTTTTGCTTCGTTCTTTTTACTGTGTTCTTTTTACTTTGTTATTTTATTTTCTTTTTGCTTTGTTCTTTTTACTTTGTTCTTTTTACTGTGTTCTTTTTACTTTCTTTTTACTTTGTTCTTTTTACTTTCTTTTTACTTTGTTCTTTATACTGTGTTCTTTATACTGTGTTCTTTATACTGTGTTCTTTATACTGTGTTCTTTTTACTTTGTTCTTTATACTGTGTTCTTTTTACTTTGTTCTTTATACTGTGTTCTTTTTACTTTCTTTTTACTTGGTTCTTTATACTGTGTTCTTTTTACTTTGGTCTTTATAATTGTGTTCTTTTTTCTTTCTTGTTACTTTGTTCTTTATACTGTGTTCTTTTTTCTTTCTTTTTACTTTGTTCTTTATACTGTGTTCTTTTTTCTTTCTTTTTACTTTGTTCACTCATGTTTTACGACATTAGTCAACTGGTTTCATGAAGCTCTAACTTTAATCTAAACTCCTGTTTACAAAAAATTATAAAAGAATTCTATACTTTCAAACAAAGTTAGAAAACTAATTTAAGTTAAAGAATATGAGAGCAAACTGAGAAAAAGAAAAGATCATTAAATCATTAAAAAACTATTTAAAAAGTAAATTTCATTTCTTATTAATTCGAAAATAAAATGTTTTTCATATTAAAAGTTTTAAATTATGAGACCAAATATATTTGTAAATTTTACCTTGAAATAAAGGTAAAATATATGGAACGCGTTCAAAAGTTAAAATAAGTAATATATTTTAATATTCTCAAGATGATTTCTTTTGTAATCATTTTTTGTCTCCAGAAGTAAACCACAGTTTTTTTTAATCTCAAACTTCTTCTGGATTATTATTCATTTATTCAATATTGGATTTTCTTAGTAAAGGATGCCAGATATGAAAAAAGTATTATTATTAAAAAAATGATTTATCTGTACTTATCTACTTCATTTGACCGTGAACAATGTCATTTATATTGATGTTATAGAATCATATGTGTTTTATCGTAAACAAAATGGGGAATTTTGCCCTCTATTCCACCTCAGAGACTAACTACTGATATCCGAAGTGGGAACTTAAAAGAGAAATTTCCATCAACTTGTGAATTTCTCGTAACAGAAACAATAGAAGAAATTCTAGTAATTAACCGCTTAAGATAGAAAAATGCCAAATTCAACAACAAATATTGATCAAAGCACCCTGTTGTACATCTACGAATCTGGTATAATGGATGGTCACTTGACATTTAACTATTTTACCTGTTTATTGGAAACCAGAAGTTTAGACCCAAGGTATGCACATTTATCTAAAAACATTTTTGTTAAGTTAAGTTATCAACTAATAACAATTATACATTTTGAGAATTAACTGGGTGAAATCATGAAATGTTAAATATTCTAAATTATTACAGCAAAGGAGGCGTTGCATCAATGACATTTTTCAATATCTCAGTAAATAATGGTGCTAGCCGGTTCTACTTTTGCATGTATACTCATCTGATGCTCTAGGAACAGGATATGAGATCAAATCTTCAATGTCTCCGTTCGGAGACCGGAGATATGGTATAAGGTACCTCCGTCGGCTCCGATTTTTTATTAGAACATATCCTAAAGTTTAATATAAAGGTTAGTCTAACTTTAAGTTATTAATATATCGATAACTTCTTCTTATTATTTAGCACTTTAAAAAAAATGTACACGTGTAATTTATGACGACACTACATTTTAGAGTGGCATGTCCGAAACACAAGATTACACTGAAAAACCTTAGTCTGATCAATGATCATCAATCACTTGAATGTAGATTTTTGGGTCACTAAAATATACTGAATACAAGTACAGTACAACTTAATACCTCTCACAAGGTTAGGATTAACACTACAATTGTTGTGGTATGTATCCAGATCTACATAAGGATTCTGAACCTGCTTCCTTCTACAAAATAGAAAGAAAAATAATGAAGAAAAACAAAATAAGGTACACCCAATAGTCGTCTAAAACTTACCTTATGTCTGTTATAAGACATACAGCAATATCCGCTGTAAATGATCCTGCACAAAGCTCATTTAGCTCCTCAAAAGTTATCGTAGATGAAGATTCAGTTGTACCTTATTCTTCTGTCCGGTTTGTGAAAAAAGACATCACCTCATTTCCTGTTCCTAGACCATCATACTACTACTTGAATACATTATTATTATTATGAATGCCTGATAGAAAGATAGGATGATGGAATACATGAATGATTGATTGAATGGTTTATTGAATGATTGATTGTTTGATAGAATGATTGATTGGTTTAATGAAAAAAATACTTACAGAGACAGTTAGGTACAAGGACAGAATATAACTAATCTATATTTTGTTAAATCATTTAGGTCCTTTGGTGTTTGTGTCCTGAATTTGGGCTCTATAAGTCAATTGTAGCCGGAGTCGAAAAATCGGAGCCATCGGAGGTTCCTTATCCTCTGAACGGAGTTATTACTGATTTGACCTTTTATCCTATTCCTAGAATATCAGATTAGAATACATGCAAAAGTAGAACCGGCTAACACCATTATTGACGGTAAAACTCATAGAATTTTAAAAATGAGTGGAAAATATTTTAAGACACCCTGATGGTCATGGGCATTTTTTTAAAACCACCTTTTCTAAAAAAGATTCATAATAGTTTTAAAAACATTTTCAGTACCCTTTTTCTTTCGTTATTTTTTATCGGAAGACCCCCAAAAAAGACATTTTTAAAAAATGCCGTTTTTGGACACCTTGTCTTTGCAAGAAAAAAACTAAATTTTTTTAAAAGAATTTTTTTTATTAAATTATATAGGTCCTTAGGTGTATGTGTGTTGAATTTGGGCTCTGTAAGTTCATTAGGGCCGGAGATAAAAAATCGGAGCCGACGGAGGTACCTTATCCCATATCTCCGGTCTCCGAACGGAGACATTGAAGATTTGATCTCATATCCTGTTCCTAGAGCATCACATTAGTATACATGCAAAATTATAACAGGCTAACATTATTATTGATAGTAAAACTCTTAAAGAATTTTAAAATGAGTGGGAAATATTTTTGGGACACCCTGTAGGGGGTGATGTGAACATTTTTTTGAAAACCGCCTTTTCTAAAAA